CTGAAGCAAAGTGTCAGAACTGGAGATGGGAAGCTGCCGAGAGACTTAGTAAAGCACACTTCTGGGTGTATCTGGATGAGTCATGAAGACATGATGTTGCAGTCTATATCTGGTCCTGGCTCCTTTTCCTCACACTGTTCCCTCTGTTGAACAGCTTTAATCTGCCACACTCTTCTCTTTCTCCTTCTCCTTCTCCTTCTCCTCCTTCTCCTTCTCCTTCTCCTTCTCCTTCCCTTTCTCCTTCTCCTCCTTCTCCTTCTCCTTCTCCTTCTCCTTCTTCTCCTTCTTCTTCCTCTTCCTCCTCTTCCTCCTCTTCTTCCTCTTCCTCCTCTTCCTCCTCTTCTTCTTCTTCCTCTTCTTCTTCCTCTTCTTCTTCTTCCTCTTCTTCTTCCTCTTCTTCCTCTTCTTTCTCTTCTTCCTCTTCCTCTTCTTCTTCCTCTTCTTCTTCCTCTTCTTCTTCCTCTTCTTTCTCTTCTTCCTCTTCCTCTTCTTCTTCCTCTTCTTCTTCTTCCTCTTCTTCTTCCTCTTCTTCCTCTTCCTCTTCTTCCTCTTCTTCCTCTTCCTCTTCTTCTTCTTCTTCTCCTTCTCCTTCTCTTCTTCTCTCCTTCTCCTCCTTCTCCTCTATTCCTCTTCCTCCTCCTCTTTTTCTTCCGGTACTGGGAATCAAACTCAAGGTCCTGCACACCCCGGGCAGGTGCTGTGTCACTGAGCTACATCCCCAGCCCTGCCACACCCTTCTGCCATGATGTTTGCACCTTGGAGCTAGCCAGCCACAGACTGAACCCTCTGAAACCATGGGCCCAATGAGCCATTTGCTCCTTTAAATTGTGGGTATCAGGTATTTGGTCCCAGAAGTGGGAAAGCTGACTGACACATGTGCTACCTAGTAGAGTGCAGTGTGAAGAATACAGTATAACTTCTTGATATTCTTGCTAACGATGCAGAACCTGAGTCTAATTGTGAGGATCATCAGATGAACCCAAATTGAGAGGCAGTCTATACTAAATAAGCAGCCCATGATCCTCAAAAGCAGCAATGTCACTAAGGAACAACTGAGGAACTGTGACAAATAAACACTATGTATAATCTTGGACTGGATCTTTTTGTCATAAGGTTACTGGAACAACTAGATAGTTTTAAATGGAGCCTGTGGTTTAGATGGTAACATGATAACAATAATGTGTCAAATGTTTATTTCTTGATTTTAATTATCGCATTGATGTGACAGTGAAAATGTCTTTTTAGTAGGAAATACACAAAATGCAAAAGAAAAAATTTTACTCACAAATAACTCAAACACTTTTAAATATGCCAGACACAGGGGCTCATGCCTGTAATCCCAGCATTCTGGAAAGCTGAGGTAGGAGAATGACAGGTTTGAGCCCAGCCTGGGCAACTCAGAGACACAGTGAGACCTTGTCCCCCAAAAGAAATTTTTTTAAGGCCTGGGGATATAGCTCAGTGTGAAAGTCTTGGTTTCAATCCCTAGTACTGTAAATAAACAAATAAATAATAAATACTTTCTTTTTTTTTTTAATAAATACTTTCATTGAGAGTAAAAAGGTAGGCAAAGAATGAAAAATCAGAATATTGATCTTAATATCAGTCCATATTTATTTCAGGGTAAATGTACCCAGGTAGTCTCTATCCACTTCTACACCATTGACTAATACTCTAACAAACTCTAAAATGTAGAAATAATGTAAATGAAATTTCTCCAATCATAAAGCAATAAAACTAGAAATTAAGTAAAGAACTACATTATCAAAAAAAAAAAAAAAACCTCATAGCATATAGGAATTTAAAACCCTTTTTAAACAACTCTCGCTTCAAAGAGGAAAGTAAAATTACTGAATATCTAGAACACAATAACAACCAAGATATCAAAATCTATGAGATACAGCTAAGGAGATTATTTATAGGAAATTTCAAAAATGTAATATTTACATAGATCAAATAAGTTTTTAAAGTAATTAAGTAATTAGACATCAAAAATAAATATAAGTAAATGAAAAGTAATTTAATGAAAACAGAAAAAATAAATTAGTAAAATCAGAGGTTATCTAAATAGAAGACAGAAAATATAGAAACGAAATTTGAAATATCCAAGAACTACTTATTTGGGGGAAAACAGAGAGAGAAAGAGAATGGGCATGAGGAAACCAGAATAGGAAATAAGAATAAGAATGTAACATTGCCAAGAAAATTGGCCCCAGTAGATACAAACCACATAAACATATCTACATTACTGTAGAAGAGTAGACAATAGCAAGAGCTAATTCATAATAAAAAAGAAAGCACGAAACCCAGGGGGTTTGAGACAAGTGAATTCTACTGCCCCTTGAAGCAGCCCAATTCCATTCAAGCTGCTCCAGAGCAGACAAAGAAAATTTGCAAATACTTAGCAAAGCCAGTTTTTATTTAAAATCTCAAGAGTGTCTATCAAAAGAGAAAATACAGACGAATCTCTCCTACTCGAAAGCATTGAGGCAAAAACTTAAATGAAATATTAATAATACAATCTGGCAGCAAGTGGATCCATAGCACGAGTGAACAAATGAAAAATAGTTTAAAGTTAGAAAATGTGTGTGTGTGTGTGTGTGTGTGTGTGTGTGTGTGTGTGTATATCAATGATCAATTTTTTAAAAGTATGTTTGTATCCCAAAACTGCTGCAAAGAAATCTGACAAGTCAACATTGCTTTGTTTTGCTGATATGAAAAACTAAAAACTGGTGATTCACACCTATAATCCCAGCACTCAGAGGCTGAGGCAGGAGGATCACCACAAGTTTGAGGCCAGCATTGGGCACATAGTAAGTTCAAGGCCAGCCTGGACTACATAGTAAGACCCTGTCTCAAATATATATATGAATTAAAATTAAAAAGTAAAGAATAAAAGCACTTTTTTTGGTTTGGGTTTTGGTTTTCTGGGGAGGGGAAGGTTGAGACAGGGCCTTGAACTCATGGCGATCCTCCTGCCTCAGTCTCCCAAGTGCTGAGATTACAGAATGCACCACCATACCCAACTTCAATACATTCTTATTAAAATATTTATTTTTTGAAGAATGCCTCTCAGAAGTCACACACACACATACGAAAGAGACACTTCACTGGACAAACATATTCCCAGGGGCCAGATTTGAACAAATTGACTAATTCCCAAAAACCAGACTGGAATACTCGGAAAGTGTAAAGATCTGTGTTAAATAAATTGGGATTCAAAAATAAACAAACTACAACTCTGTCCTCAAAATGGTAACTGACAAGTACGACCAACGGACTTCAATAACTACAACAGTAGTTATTGCCATAGGCGTTAGACAGTCACAGGCCACAAGGCCAGGGACCAGCAACTTTGTTCACCATTATATCTCTAAAACTTGCAAATGGCAGGTCCTCGATAAATAGCAAAGGAAGGGAATAATGGAAAGATGAAGATACGAACAAGAACTGTGGGACTACAGAGGTGAGACGGCTCCCCAAACGAGGCAGGCTGGTAAGGAGACTGGGTTACTCCAAGGCGAGGTTTGATCCAGTCACTACAGGAACATCGCGGGCAGATGGAGGGGAAAGAGCACCCTGAAGAAGGAATGCTGCGAAGCTCAGGAAGTAGCAAGCAACTCACAGCGGTAAGCGAGGACGCGCACAATGGGGAGGGCTGAGAAGTCTGGACTTCATCTTGTGGGTAAAGACTTGCAAGTACAGAGTTAGCAGAGCTCTGGGAGACACCGCCAGCGTTAGTGTGGACGGACTGAGGAAGCGACAGCCTGGAAGCCATAAGAGGAGTGAAAAACTACTACGCTAGCCCAGCCTAGAGGGGACGGTGGCCTCAAAATGACAGTGGCTTAGGAAATCAGCCTGCAGAGCTGAAATCTTCCCAGCGGATTCACTGTGAATGTTCTCATCTGTCCTTGTCTTGTGCCCCAGCCCCCTGGGCTACAGGTAGGGAGACGGATGTTGAGAGGGGGAAATTTGGAGGAAGGAGAGGTGGGAGGCAGCCCAAGACAAACTTCTTTCACTTCACCATCTTGCCTGAGGAGAGCGGTGTGGAGTAACCGGAGCACAGCTGCCAGCACCCTGGGGCTCTCCTCTCCCGGAGGGGGAGGACCCATGCCAGCTGGGACACAACAGTGTTCTCTCTGCTCTACAGGCCAGACCTTCCCCTCCGTGGGACCCCATATGCCTGGCAAGCATGTTTGCTGCAAAAGGCAGGAGGCTCAGTCTCGGGTTGTGGCAGCCCTCTCCTGCCTAGAGACAATCGAGAAGCAGATGTTTCATTGAGATCATCAAAACCTCCAGCTGGAGGAGGACAGAGAAGATCAACTAGTTCAGTTCCCAGGCTGAGGCCCAGGATCCAAGTCCTAGACACAGCCCCCACCTGCTCTCCACATGCCTCCTTAGGCAGCCCACGCCTCCACTTGCCTCCTAGGTCCCGGATGAGGAGTTAGACTGACGTGGTTCTAATGCACCCAGATATGTGACTCTACGATCACCTCACTTGTGCGAATATGAGTTTCTTTGTTCAATGAACAATCTCTGTGACCATGATGAGTTATATCTCATGTGAACAAACAGAGGACAGTTTGTCAGCCTCCTGTCACCACCTCATTCCTTCATTCCTGTTCCGTTGGGGAGTTTTGTGTGGCCCTTCCTTGATTCATCCACCAACTAATATTTTCTGAGCACCTACTATGTGCCAGCTACTTTTGAGGTGCTAGAAAAACAATCATAAGATATAATACCAGCCGTCACGGAAATTTGGCTCTTCTGGGGGTAAAAGATATTAAGTAAATCACCACATGTATAAAAGTAAAAGTATCTCAGTAGTGAGCACCACAAAGGAAGGTCACTCACACCAGGAAGTTAATCTAAAGCCCTACAGGGACAGAGCCTGGGGCCGGCCCCAGGCTAGGGAGAAGGCTGGGGGCCTTACTTTCCCGTTAACTAGCTTCCCAGAAACTCCAGTTCCCAAAATCGAATGCGTTCATACTGGGGGACTCTGGAAGGGAAACCTGGTGTTCCCAGGTCCAATCCTGAACCAGTTTTCCCCGAAGCCCATCCCTACCCCAAAATAAATAAAGCCCCTGCCAGGCTGCCTGCTCAGCAGCTCTAAATAGCCTCCCCAGGAAAACTGATCCTGCTCCTGCTCTGCCATGGAAGTCTTCGCTCTCCTGCTGCTGGCCAGCCTGGCCTCCACCTCTCTCTCCATCCTTCACGGTGAGTGTGGCCTCCTGCCCTCTCCCCACCCCCCAGAGGTCAAGGTCCTTTGTTAACCTTATAATGTGCTATGCAGAGGAGTAGGAGATGGACAATGAAAAGTCCACAGCTTGGATGACTGAGGGATAGAGGCAGGGAGCAAGGATACTGGAGCCCAGAAATCCTACAGCCCAGAAAGCCTAAGGCTGGGACTAGAGGGCCCAAACTAGACCCAAATCAGGGCAGACTAGAGTCAACAGAAGTTCCCATTAGATCATACTTCTCCATGCTGGGCAACACAATTAGAGCCACTACACTTCTCTGGACCAACCCTGCCTCCCTCTGCATAGTGAGGGCAAAATCACACACACATGCACCAGCTATTTAGTGAGCACTTACTTCATGGCAGACACACTTCTAGGGGTTTGGGATACACTAACAGAATAGACAAAGACCTCAGTCATCACTGAGATTCCAGCCTAACAGAAAGAAAAAGAAATAAAATAAAGCAATAAAATGTACCAAATAAATTCATAGTGTGTTCAAAATGCTGCCAAAAACAGAGGCAAGAGTAAGGGGGAAGCCATCATAGCTTTCCTCAGGATAGCCTGCCCTGTATCCTTCAGGGTGTACTTTTATCTTGCTTTTTCCTCTGTTACTTAGCCCAAGCTTGCTCCACAGAGCCAATTTCTCCCTCATGCTTCACTTTTCCTTCCTCTAATAAACTCTGCCACCTTTCAAAAAAAAAATAATAATAAGGGGGATTGAGACTGCTGGGGCTGGGAAGGGTCAGGTGGTTACAGAGAAATGATCTCTAGATACTTCAACCTCTTCTGTTTCAGAGCCAGAAGATAAAATCCTTGTAAAGACTCAGCACACAGTTGCTAGTAAGTATCATGCTAGCGTCCTTTAGAATAAATGAGTGATAAACTAGGTGTGATGGTGCATGCCTGCAATCCCAGCATTTGGAAGCCTGAGTCAAGAGGATCGCAGTGAGTCCAAGACCAGTCTTGGCTACATGGTGAGTTCAAGGCCAACCTGGACTACACAGAGAGAGACCTTGTCTCAAAAAGAACTCAAGAAAAAAAAAAAAGTCAGTGGAACTAAAAGATTGTCCAGTAAATGATGAATTCACTACCTGGAGAAGAAGCAGAGCAAAGACAGGCCTCCTTGGCCTCCTTGGCCTTAACGCTTCCTGCTGCACTAACTAGCCAAGATTCAGGGACCAGGAACCATTTGAACAGCACTCATGCTGGGTGGTCATTGGGGGACCGTCCCTCCCGCCAAGTGCCAGCAGATAAAGAGTTTCAGCTCACCCCGAGGCAAAGACACTGAGGAGCTCATTGCTTCCAGGCCCCAACACCACAGCCCCAAAACCATGAACGTTTCTGGATTCTACTTTGTAGATTATCTGTAGATTATTCATAGACGATCTGTAGATGTGGTTTCATCTCAGGCTAGCTTCCCTTAATTTACCTGGGAGAAAACAGAGAAAAAAAGTGCAAATAATCCTAGAATTCTGAGGAAAAGGATTAATATCATTGAGTTCTTTTCCTGTGAACCAGACAATGGAACTGGGATTTGCAAAATTCATCTCTTTTGACTGAGTGACTGGATTCGCTGGGGGGAAGCAGAATTCCCAATCAGTGGTACTCAAAATCAAGTATGCGTCTATAGGGTCCTCACAGATTTAGAGTCTGGAGATGGACCTCAATCCTACTTGTATGTTAACTAGGCAAAGACCCATGATACAGCACTGGCTGACTGCTTCTCACCTGACACTTTCTCTGCCCCTCGTCTCTTCCATCTCTCTGGTCACAGCTACCCAGTTCGTTCCTCCCCAACAGCCCAGGAAGGACCACGCCTCCAATGAGGACCTTTCTAAGGAGTCTTTCATCTCCAGAGAAAAGATGATTGCTGAAGAGAATGTGGAGATAAAACCCATCGGGCAAAACAGTCAAGATTCCGTGCATCCTCGCCCCATCCTCCAAGAAGAGAGTTTCGGAAACGCCATTCTTCAGTCAGAAGAGACCACCGAACTCACTCCCAGAGCTGGTAAGAGCCAGGGAGGAGGGAAGCAGCTGAGGGGATATTAAGAAGAAAAAGGCAGGGGTAAAGCTACTTTGGGTGGAAGTTGCTGGGGTTAGGAGGAGGAAAGATGCTGTAGGGGAACAAGAATTAAATGGAAATAAAGCCTGGCACGGTGACTCACAACTGTAATTCAAGGACTCTGGGAGCCTGAGGTAGGAGGATTGTAAATTAGAGTCCAGACTGGGAAATTTAGCAAGACTCTGTGTCAAAATAAACCAAAAATAAATAGAAAGAAAAATTTTAAAAAGACTGGGGCTAGTAGCTCAGGGCCGTGGCTTTGGCTCAATCCCCAGTATGAGACAGAGACAGAGAGAGAGATTCAACATAAATGAAGTCAAACAACCCACTGCCAGCTCTGTGGAAGGCTGTCACTGGAGCCCAGGGAGATGAGGGAACCAGCCCTAACTTGATATTTCTCTCCCAAAATTCCCCAGCAACCACCTCCGAGAGAAAAATGGCCAAGCTCAGCCATAAAATCGAGAAGAATCTGGACAAAATCCAGAAGAATCTGGACGAAATCATGACACTCACGACAATTCACGGACAATTTGAAAAGCTTAATCCCTAACACCCTAATGACAAGAGGCCCTAAATCCCAAACTGGGCCCCGGGAGGTGCCTACCTACCTCTGTCCATCCCAACCACCACCTCTCAAATTTGTGCATTAAAGAGCTGCAATCCAAACCCAGATCTATGGAGGCTTTGTGGGCCCGATAAAGGAGGCAAGACACCCCTACTCTGCTAGGACTCTTCTTTAGCTCCTCTAACACTTTAAGTTTAAACGGTCCTGCTCTTCAGCTCACAGGCCTGTTTATTTCCTCATCCCAAGACATCCTTTGCAAAGACCGGACCCTCCTCACCCCCCTCCGCCTCCTCAACGCGACACAGTCCCTCCTCACCCTCTGCAGTCTGCTTTTCCCACCCACCAGCCTGCTGCTCCTGCTGTCCCAAAATCCACAGGCAACAACAAGCCCTGTGGCTGCTTCTCAGTCCTGAATCTCTGCACTGCCTCTGTAGAGCTGAACACAGCTAGCTCTTCTAGAATCTTCTCCTCACTGGCTTTCCAGCACACTACACTTTGCTGATTCTCCTAGTACATTTTGGGGCTGTGCATTGCATACTTCCAGGGTCACATACTGGAGCATCTTGTCTTCTCTCTAAACCTCTTTCTCTACACCCCTACACCCTCATCTTCCAAGACCACGCAGGGTACGTGGCTTCCATTTGCCACTCAGCTGATATCCACTAAGTGCTTACCACATGCCAGACCCGTTACCCCGTATGTGCTAATCCCCCGCAGCCCAGGGCAGCTTTCACCATCCAGGCGTGTGGAACTCGATGGATAAAGAAGAAAATGGGAGGATGAAAGTCTCTTTCTGTTTTTCAAATGCAGGGAAGGCTGCCCATTAAAGGGCGGGTAGAATGATGGGAATAAAGCGATCACTAATCTCTAGGGTCCTACCCCCAGGACACAAGAAAAAGGTGCTCAGGAGACCAACAGAGCAACCGACCCACCACCACAATGCAAGGCCAGCACTGCCCTGACCCAGGGAAATCTGGGCGAGCTGTGTGCAAGACTGGAGACAGATAAAATATCTGCTTTCCTCTTTTGCTTTCTCCTGGCATAAAAAGAGACCAACTGCCCACTGTCCCTTGCTTATGCTTCCCCCTCCCCAGTATAGGGATGCGCAGCTCCACCAAAACTATCTCCCAAACAAGATGGAAAATTCCACTGAGTCTCTCTCTAAGCTATAGCTTGAGACATGGGGAAAAAATTCTGGCCAATGTAACAGACATGATGGAGTTCAGAAAGAAATTGGAGAGGAAGTTTCTCAAGAGAAATAGATTAGAGAAATTGAAATGTCTTGGAGATTAAGACATCCTAGACTAGACAGCCTTCTGACCCTCACTCCATTCCAACTAATACAGAAAATAGCACAAGGCTTGTTGACCAACGGGGATCAAAGGACCCACCTTAACAATGGCTAGACACATGTACCAGTAAATTCAAAATGCAGGGCTTCCTATTACAACTGGACAGGAGACCTCGGGCTAATGGGGCTTTCCCCAGTCTCCCCACTCTGCCCCCCTCTGACTCACTGAATGAACAGAGACAGAGCTGGAGAAGCCATTGCCAGGCTCGAGGTCCTAAGATTATCTCCTCTCCCCGGGGAGGCGTCAGGAAGGAATGGAAAGGTAGGCTGGAAAGTACTCCCGCCAGCCTGCTCCTTTGTCAGGCAGGGACATGCAGAAAGGACAGTCCCCAACACAGAGTAGCTTTCCCTTTTCTCAATGTTTTGGGCTTAAGAAGTGGGCCACAGGTGAGGCAGGAGGAGTGGGACAGAGAAGCCCAGCAAGGCATCACAGCAGTCTCCCACTTTGCTGTCTGTAACTGGGTATGTGACCGCATGACCCGCTGATTTATACACTCCCGTTATGTGACAGGCCCCACTTCCAATGCTTCACACCTACTGACTCATTTAAGCTCTCAAAAACAGAAAGCCGTTACCCCCACTTCCAGATGAATGGCTGTCATCGCTCGTCTTTGGGTCCTCCTGAAATCTGCGGGGTGGCCAGGTGACTCTTGGCCCCCAACACCTTTGAACTGGATCAAAGGAGGACACAATTCCACTCCAAACGGCGCTCTAAACTGCTTCCTCTATCCGAGCAGCTGGGTCACATTGCTCAGTACAGCAGCTCACCTGAGGGAGCACTACATGAAATTATAAAATATCACTTCAACACCAGCAACCAAAAGCAGCCCTGAATTTGAACAGAAACCCCTTCCTAATTTCAAAAATAACAAGAGAACAACAGTGAAATCCACTTTTCAATTCAAATGCAAGGAGACGGAAGCTCAAAAGTCTTCTCCCCCCGAAAGGGGTGTGTTCCCCCTAGTATCTTCAAGATTGGCTTAATGCACCCCCAAATATTTCAGGGGTCCATCTTTTTTAACATCAGGGTAACTTGGGAGACGTGGAACACCGCGGCACCAGCTCCACACAAACAAAACTCAGAAATGCAAGCATGTTATCGGGTCCCAGACAATTCCATGCCCTAGTGCCTAGTGCATGCTTCTGTGTGTGTTTTGAGGGGTTTGTTTAGTTTTGTTTTGTTTTGTTTTGTTTTGTTTTGTTTTGTTTTGTTTTGTTTTAGTGAGAGGGATGGGGAAGGCTCCAGTCACATGTCCTCGTGTCACGGAGGACAGATATTCGGCCGTCATCTCAGGTATGCATGCCTCCAGGAAGGTCTCCAGCCGTCTTCCGCTGCTGCTTGCAAGCCTCAGCTCCTCTGCCCACGCTCTTCCTAAGGGGCAGCAGCAGCAGCAGCAGGCAGCTCACAGCAGCACAGGGGCCAGGGCTGTGTCTTGCTGAGCAAGCTGACCAGAAAAGGCAATGGCACCGCATCCCCGTGACCGTCTTCTCCTCAATTCCAAAAGATGGGCAGGGGCCCTGGAGCTCAGCAGGAGTCGCCTCGCTCCTGCCGGCAACGTTTCACACAGAAACCCCGTGGCATCTGAGAGAAGAGAAAGCCTTGACCCCCACCTGGCCAAGGTGCTCTCACAGCCATGTCAGCTCTGCAGAGTTCCCAGCACAGGCACTTAAGCCTCAAGCAGTAAAAGTCTCCAAGGAACAGGCTGCTTTGGGCATTAACCATTGGAGGGTGGGGCGTGCATGCTGTCTCTTCTGTTACCTTGTGATATTTAGAGATTTAAATTACTGCTCCCATTAGTCCCAGTTTAACTCAGCTGTGCCTACATCTATGTCTTTCGTACATGAACTTCCCCTACGGTGTGTTTCATCTTCTCAGTCACTGTGTAGCATGTTTCCTGGGAATGTTTCCCCGGGAAATACCCTCCCTTAAAAAGATTAACTGTGTCCCTCTGAAACTTCCCTCACTGTGCTCACAGCTTTGCCACTAAAACTGGCTTCCCTCGTACCTTGCAAGGGACTGTCTGCGGTGGGTCCTGGCTCCCTCTACCGGCCTCCTCCTATTTCGCATCATTGTTAGATAGCGAGGGTCCCATTCCTTCCTGGCATACTAATAGTCTTCTCTGCCCTGGTATTTGGGCATAGAAACATTTCCTCTTTCTTTTAATACTATCTCAAGCCTGAGCTGTAGGAAATAATTCCAGGGGCCCGTGATCAGACCATACCTTAAATCCCTCCATGATCCCTGCTGTGACCCTGCGTGAAGTTCAAAACAAAATAGGCAGCTAGGACCTGGGAAAGCCGACCTAGAGTTGCCAGCTACAGATTAGCATGTATAATCTGAAGCCAACATTTCACAGTCTGGTGCTCTAAACTCACATGCAATTGGGGTAATTTTCAGCTTCAGCTGCACTTAGCTACAGGTCAGAGTTGTCTTCAGGCCTTTGCCTGTTAACATCCATCTTATAGCCTGGGATATAGCTCAGTGGCACAGCGCCTGCCTGGCAAGTGTGAGGTCATGAGTTCAATTCCCTGTACCAAAAAAAAAAAAAAAAATCCATCATACAGAGTCCCCCAAGGCTAGTCTTCAAGTTCATCATCAGGTTCCAGGGAGACCTACCAGCATGCCATCCGTCCAGCCCACTGAGACCAGCCAACGGACCAGGTTCCCAGAGAATAGGCACAAAGAGGAAACAAAGCATCTGTTTCATGAAAGGCCAGACAAGAAAGAGCCAGACAACCTCCCGAATGCTATCTCCAAACCTGGGCTGGAGAAAGCCAAAAGCAGGCCCATGCCCTCCTCCTGCCTAAGCTACCAAGCAAGGGAGGAAACTGCAGATATCCCAGAAGAGAGGCAGGGGAGGGAAGTCCTGTGCAGTCTTGTGCTCTCGTGAGAGAGGGTGGGACAGCTAGGGACAAAGCCACTCAGGAACACGCTTGTTAACACATTAGCACCACCTCCTTGTGAAACATCACCTGACTAATAAGTGTTCCACTTCACCAGCTGTTATAGCATCTCACCCTGCAGGAGGGAGCAGTCACCAGCAGAGGACAGCTTTTCATCTTGCATTCGTTTTCTAACTACAAATTACCACAGACTAGCTTAAAACAACACAAATTTATTACCTTCAGTTCTGTAGCCCAGGCGCCCCAGTGGGTCTCACTGGGTTAAAATCACAGAGGTCGGCAGGGCCACATTCCTTTCTGGAGGCCCTCTGGGAGAATATGCTTCCTGGCCCTTTCCAGGTACAAGAGGTCAAGAGGCTGCCTGCATGCTTTGGCACACAGCCCCTTCCCGCCATATTCAAAGCCAGCAGCCTCCAGCCATGGCCTTCTCAGCCATCAATCCGGTTCTCTCTTCTGCCTCCTTCTAGATTTAAGGAAACTTCTGGGTCACCCGGGACAGTGGTGGTAAACTATGGTATGCATGTTGTTTTTCTTTTAAGACAAAGTATGTTAATATATGAGTTGTTTTTTCTAAACTAAAACCTCACTATTTGGGTTTCATTGCAGTGTTGACATTGTGCCATAAATAAGTAGGTTTGGGGCTGCAGCTTGGGCGTTTGTCTCTAAAAGGTTTGCCATCACTGATCTAGAATAACCTGCCTGTCTTCAGGCCAGCTGATTAGCACCCTCAACTCTCTCTGCAACCTTAATTCCCACCACCAGCGCAAGCTGACACACCCACAAATTCTGGTGATTAGGACACAGATACTTTTGATGCAGAGCCATTAATTATCCTGCTCCCACCCATCTCCTGCTCCCATGAGATTGCCACCACCTTAAACCACAGAAATCAGTTGCCCCAAACCCTCAAACCAAGCAGGCACTGAGATCTACACTTTGCCGTGATCCCTCTTACGTGGATGTGAGCTCCCCAGTCCCTGCTGTTACACCTCTTGGGTTGATCTCAGTCATCACCAGGACCAAGCCGAAGCCCCCAGGGATCTGTACTGTTCACCCCCACAGCCGCTTAGCCCTGCCACCCCTGGTCCTGCCCAAACCCCTGCCCCGTCTCTCCGCCTCAAACCCTTCGTGGCTCCTTCTGCTGAGCTGTTGTCAGAAAATCCTTGATAGCCCCAATGCCTTGCTGAGTGTTCCATCACTTAATCTTATATAACATTTTAAGACGCCCTGAGATTCCACAGCGTCTGCAGCCCTCTCAAGTGAAAGCGGCTTATTCCTTCAACCACTACTTATCTCAGATCCAAAAGGGGGAGGAAGTATCCTCCTTGTTCCCATCTTGTCTTTCCTCCAAAAGTTCCCCTCTTCTGAAGCTCAGGACAGGCTGCCCCTCCTCGCAGCCCCTCTCTCTCATCTACTAATGGCCTCGGTGCCCAGTCTTCCCCTCCCCCTTGCCCGTTGTCACTCCTGAGGAGGTTCAACATTCACACAGATAGGGGCTGGGGATTTAGCTCAGCAGCAAAGCGCTTGCCTGGCAAGCTCAAGGTCGTGAGTTCGGTTCCCGCTACCGGAGAAAAACAAACAAACAAAAAAAATTCACGCAGATGACCTCTCACATTCGCTCTGGCTTCTCAGCCTTGACCTTTGTATTTCAGATGACACTGCGCACACATAGCCTCCAAAACCCCAAACTCAACGCCCCCACCATCTGTCTACAACCCTCTGTCCTCTCATCTCCATTTCTCTGGGAGCCCGGTTGCAACAGAACTTTGACCTAATCGTGATTTCCAATTCACTGACCCTGCCATTTTCTCCACAAGCTAATGAGTGCGTGTCTCAGTTTCCAGGGCCATGTGGCTAGGAGTTGGCCAGTATGGTATGAGCAAATATTTGGGAAAGTTATGACTGCTGCTCCTGACAGAAAAGGAACATGGACGTCCTTTCTTTCTCCTTTCTAAATCCTTCCCACTGACTGGAAAGAGATAAAGAGGTGGCAGCCGGAATAGCCATCTTAAGCCGGTAACTAGCAGGCACCTAGTTAAAAAGAAAGAGTAAGGAGACAGGAGGTTCTTTCTGAGTATTGTGGAGCCAGCGTGTTACTCCTGCTTAACGTTCACTCATTTTCTTCCATGGTATTATGACCTTGCTAACTGCACCCAAACTGGTACCTGAATATCCGTGTCCACCTCCTCATCCTAGCTTATTGACTATCATCCCCATGGACACCACTTCCCAAGCCAAAAACCTAGTTTATCTCGATTTCTCTTTCCCCACCCCCAATACATCAACAAGGCTACAGACTGTCTCCAACATACACCCCGGCTCCACCCTCTCTCCCCTCTCCCTGGCCACCACAGTGGTCCAGCCACCATTGCTTATCACCCGGATTTAACGGCTTCCTGACCGACTGCTCTGGTTCCACTCTTCCTGTCCCGATCCATCCTTCACTCGGCACGCGGACAAGTGATCTTTCAGATCATGACAGCCTGTCTGCCAGCTAAAACCCTTAGGTGGTGCCTGGAAGAAATGAAACAGAGAGAGAGAGAGAGAGAGAGAGAGAGAGAGAGAGAGAGAGACTTGCAGCAAGGCCGGGTTTTATTTAAGGTAAAGAGGTGAGAGGGGCTGCTGGCTCCCAAGTGCCGGAGCAGCAACCCTCTTACAGCGGGAGGAGTTTACACAGGGTAACCGGGGTAGCAGAGAGTGAGGAAGCTGGAAAGTAACTATTCTTGGATCAGATCATCTATCTCAGTCCGCGGCCAGTAGTCCGACTCCTACTTGCACAAGGGTCATTATGCTACTGAAGCCAAGGGCCTCCTGCCCTGGAATGCTCTGTTCTATAAACAGGACGCAGGCCAGGCCAGTTAACGAGAGGCGCTGGTACTGTTACAAGGCTGGGAGAACGTGGAGAAGGGTCAGAACCCATGGGAGGATGTTGTTTGGACTTTTCCTTTCAGGGTCCACTTGCACATCAGATAAAACCCAAACTTCTACCACGCACGGCTGGCTCCTGTACGCCCCCAGCCCCATCTCAGTGCGGTCTCCTGCCCAATACGCTGCGGCCATGCCACCTTCCTCCCTGGTGCTCAGACGCAGCACATCTTTCCCAGCTCAAGGCTTTTGTCCTTCTGTGCCTTCTGCTGTTCACACAGCTGCCTCCCTATCACTGTGCAGGTCTCATGCTGTCTTCTAGAGAGAGCTTCGCTACCTTCCCTGTTCAGCCCGCCCCCATCTACCCGCCCCCACTTCCTTCTGTCACCGCACCCTTACGTGCCTCTCACGGTACTTACAGGCCCCGAACTTGCTTATACGCTTACTTACTTGCATATGTAATTCTGACCTCACAAAACTGTGTGCTCCATGGAACTGGGAAACTTATTGAACATTATTTTTCACTGTTTCCTTTCCAGATGCTTGAACTGTAAGTATTGGGCAAAGAACTGGAGTTCTATGGATAAATCTGAATTCACGGGTGAACTGAATAAATGAATGCACGGGTGATGACGTCAGCAGCTCATTTCCTAAAAAACAGCAAACAAGGAACAGAGGGAAGCTAGAAAGGGAGACTCGGGCACTCACGGCCTGTGGGGAAGGACGCAAGGTGAACCCGGGCACCAGGAAAGGCAGCAGATAAGAGCCTCCCTCTCCCGGAGGAGCTGGGAAGAAAAGGATCCTGGGAAGGGCTGAGAAGCCTTCTTCCTCAGAATCCCGTTCTCTCCTCCAGCCTCTGCAGGACTGCTGTGGAGATGAGGAGGCTGCCTTCCCCAAGAACCCGGCACAGTGTCATGAATGAGGAAGCCTGACACGTCTCAGGAAGGCTTCTCACCGCGTGCACAGGGAGGGGGGCTTGATTCCTACCTCTCACAGGTCTGGGGGCAGGGTCTTATCCCAGCACACAGTCCCACATCACCCCCAAATTTCCTCCAGAATATGGTGGCAGGAGGGAACAGCCCCTCCCCTAAGGTGAGGAGACAGGACAGCTCAGGCCTAGACTAGCAAAGCACGGATCTTTCCACAGCTGGCTCCTCCTCCCTTGCCCTCCAGGGCTCCTTCTCTTTTAAGTGGGCTCCCAGAGCCTTTGACCCACAGGCCCCGCTGCACAATTGCAGGACACCAGGATCCAAAGCACCGAGAGAGAAAGCACCCCCTGACGCCTCTGCTCTGCCACTTGTAGCAACAGAGCTCTCTTGGTACCTTGGTCTCTCTGCCTCTGGTGACCCTGCTGGAGCCTGCACGCTCCCAGCCAGCCTGAATCTCCCTCCCCAAACTTGCGTCCCTAGCTCAGCCTGGTGCGGCAGCACAGGTAAGTTCTCCCTCCCATGTGACAGCCTTTGAAATCTTCGAAGACAATTACCATTCCAATAATAGATGTGACCACTTGACAAGCTCTTACTAAGAACTGCGCTGAGAATTTTATATACATGATCTCAGCCAATACCTGAGGTATTACCAGGGTATAGAAATTGTGGTTCCCCGGCTGGGGGTTTAGCTCAGCGGCACAGCGCCTGCCTGGCAAGCGCAAGGTCGTGAGTTCGACCCCCGGTAACAACAACAACAACAAAAAATTGTGGTTCCCATTCCACAGATAAGGAAATAAACTCAGAGAAATAAAGCAACCACCGAGCCACCGGGGTACTAGAAGACCAGGGCTTGTCCCAGGGGCCTGTCTGACTCCATCCAAAGCCCACGCCCTCTTCCCTCTGCTACGCCAAGCACCACAGGGTGTCATGCCCCCTCAGCTGTGTCTTCTCCACCCACTAAACAACATCAAATACTCCTGCTTTTCTTCTCTGAGAAACTTAAACTGTCATCTCCCCACCCCCCATTTTCTCCCAGAACCCCTCAGCCCCCAATCACAGCCCCAACAACACCTGGTGCTGCCCTCCCTCCGTCTCTGTTATATTTCACCTCCCCCACCCCCCAGGAATGCGTCAGTCTGTCTTCCTCTTATTCTCACATCCCTCTCCCCAACGTCCTACTCATCCTTAAAAAAAAAGAAAGAAAGAAAGGAGAGAAGAAGGGAGGGAGGGAGGGTGGGAGGGAGGGTGGGGGGAAGGGGGAAAGGGAGGAAAGAAGGAAGCCTAACTCTAACTTGCCCTCCTCTGCAGAGCCTTCCTGGTTCCCTCCAGCTGCTCTTTCCCCCGTGCTCCCAAAGCCCTGATTTCTGCCTCTGCACAAGCAGTTGGGGTTCCTCAGCTCAGTGTTCTGGGCTCTCCCTCCCCAAACAGGCTTCTCTGGTGAGAGTGTACTTTCACCTCTACACCCACTACAGTGGAGGTGCTTTTAGGTGGCAGGGTACAAAGCAGATTGATTCCTTTTTGATACTTCAACTGGAAGAACAGTGCAGAAATCCAGGAAGCAGTGTCAACTTTCAGGGAACCTGCTGAGTATCAGGAGAGCTGAGTCCCCAGCACTTTGGGGGCATCTGGCCTTGAATGGAGACTGAATCTGGAGATTGAATAAAACAGTTCAGCACTAATGAGTCCAAGAAAGAAAACAGGGCTTGAAGCAGGGTCTGCCGCCCTCTGGTGGCCATTGTACTTCTGGGCTCTCTCCTTTGTGTCCTCTCCATCCAAGAGAAGTTGCTGGCATAGACTTAAAGCCTGACACCCATCTCCGCTGGCACAGTTGTAACCACCCTTGTTGCACTTATAAAAAGAAATTTAAATTTCAAGTAAGTATCAAGACACAATAGATGGCCAGGTGTGATGGCACACACCTGTAATCCCAGCACTCAGGAAGCTGAGGCAGGAGTATCGTTGCAAGTTTGAGACCAGCCTGGGCTACGAAGTGAGCTCAAGGCCAGCTTGAACTGCATAGCAAGATCCTGTCTCAAAGAAGACACACAAAAAAAAGTGAGGCACCCAATCATATAAAAAAGTTCAAAGGAAGTTTATAAGAACTAATTTCTCTCTTTCTTTCTTTCTTTCTTTCTTTCCTGATTTTTTGAGACAGAGCCTTGCCATTGTAGTTCAGGCTGACTTTGAACTCACTATGAGCTCAAGCTGGACTCGAATTTGCAGTGATCCTCCTGCCTCAGCCTCCCAAGGGCTGGGATTACAGGTGGGCAAACACTAGTTTCTGACCTCCTTCAGCCAAATCAAAGACATGAAAAGAGGTCGTAGTACAGAGGGGAGGTGGATTTTGTGAGAAGGGAATGGATAGAAAAAGGGAAGGAAAGAGGGGCCTACCCTGTTAGCAGACTTCACAGGAGAGATTACCCCAAGGGCTGGGCATCAGGCCCTAGCACAGGGAGCAGAGTGCTCTGGAGTCTGGATGCTAACTGAAGTTCAGAAGGGGAGAGGACTGAACTGAGGACCTGCCACCTGGGCAGCTTGGCAGACACCCTGCACACCCAGCGTCAGCCTGCAGGACAGAAAGGTGTGTGGGCCCCCAGGAGAGGGAGAGAGGTGCACTCCTGGGTCCAACTTGGGCCCTGTCCAGTAGGAACCTCGAGGGTCAGCTAAAGAGGAGTCTCAAGCTCCTAGAACGAGGGGACACAGCCAAACGGGGCTGGCAAAGGAGCTCTGAAGAGCCAAGACCCTCTGAGAGAACGGTCACAGAGAGCACGGCCAGAGTCGGTCAGATGGTAGAGAAGGAGGCTGAGCACGGACCGAGGAATGGACGCAAGCCTGAGATACGGCTGCAGTCGGGGTCAGCGCCCCCACCACCCTGCAGCGCCCCCACCACCCTGCAGCACACACTCCCTGAAGCTCACCTGAGAGGACAGCAGAGGGAGCGGGCAGAGGCCTGAAGGCAGGAAAAGCTTGACAGAGAGACGGACACCACCTCGCACTCCTTTCCTGAAGCAGGCAGGTTCCTCCGAGGCAGGGCCTAGCAGGCTGGAGAAATGGCTCCATTTCAGGACTTGAGTCCTATATTTGTGAATGGAGACCATGCCTATCTGAGAGTAACGAGCAACGTAAGCAGGATTTCCTGGGTTCCCACCCAGGAGCAAAGAAAAAATTACCTTGCCAGCCCACCCACCCCTGTAAAGTGTAAACGACGGTAAGAAACAAAAAAAAAAGTCATGAAATAAAAATGTACTTGGGTTGTGTAATCGAATGCAAATTTATTTTCAATTATAGCAAGTTGTGGTGATACATGTTACAGGTTACAAAAAAAAAAAAAAACCCTCCACTGGGACTGAGTTGCCCTTCAGAGCCCCTCTGCGGTCTCTCCTCCCACCTGGAACCCTGCTGCTCCCTGCCCCCTCACCCCCAATATCGCGTCCCCCACACCTGCCTCCTAAGAGTCAGCTCAACTGCACTCAAAGGTCCTGACCATCTCCTCCCCCTCTTGGGGACAGGAGAGACTGGGTGCCGTGGGCCTCCTGTGCCAGCTCTAGCGCAGTCCCTGAGCATCCTGGGACATGTGCCCTCTCCCTGCCCCGTCAGGCCCTATCACTATCCATCCTGAGGTGAACAGTGTCCCCCACAAGTACATGTTCTCCCAGAACCTCGGACTACAGAACTAGGGTCTTTACTGATGTAATTAAGGATCTCAAGAAGAAATTGTCCTTGATGTCGGGTGGGCCCGAAATCCAAGGACTGCTGCCCCAGGAAGAAGAGAGGGCCCTGAGAGACGCACGGGAGGAGGAACGTTGTGTGATCCATCCCAAGTTACCGCGTCACGCTGCCATAAGCCACGGAAGAGGCAAAGAAGCACTCTTGCCCAGAGCCGAAGACCCTGCTGCTTCCTTGATTTTGGACCTCTGGCCTCCAGTACTATGAGAAAATAAATCGCTACTGTTTAAGCCACCAAGTTCATGGTACTTTGGGACAGCAGGAAACCATCGCACCCTAATCCGCCCTGTCCCTCTGGCCATAGCAGCAGCCAATGGCCAACCACTGCCAAGCAGAATGTGAGCGCTGGCCGGGTCTGGGGCCGTGAGCCTGCCAAGCCCAGGACTGTGGAGCTATTACTTTCAAATGACCCCTCCTCCAGCCACACTCCTCTGCCAAGCAGCCCCAGGAGAAAACCTGGCATCTGCTCCCAGGCCACCTACAACAACAAGTCCAGAACCCAGGGGGTCCTTCCCCTCTGGCTCCTGATAACTTACCCTTACCCTGTCCTGTAGCTGGGGAATTTTCCATCCTTCCACCCCCAAGTCAAAGTCATTAGATTTAATCATTAACAGGGCGGGTGTTAATTAGCAGGGCAGGGTGTTGGCCCCTGCTGACTAGGACACAGCTGGACATCAAGAATGCTGATCCCACCAGGGTGGGAGGAGCAGAAGCCCGCTGACCAGAGGCAGGGGTGCCCCCTGCAGACACCTTCCTCTCAGATTCTGAATGCAGTGAAATTCCCAGCTTCAGCCCTGCTTTTTTAAGAGCCAAAGGAAGCAGCATATGCAAGCGTTTAAGGGTGCTCAGTACTTTGGAGGCATTACCTCATCCCACTCCTCACTATATATAATAGAGATGGTGCCTATTGTTAAGCCAGTTTTAAGGCAGAGGAAATTGAGGCTCAGTGAGGTTAAACAGACAGATTAGACAACTGTGTCCAAGGTCACAGAGCTACCAGGTAGCAGAGACCCTGCAGAGGAGCTGGGGTAGAGGAGCAGCAGCAGGTCTGAGAGGCCTCAGGTCACACTGATCCCCTTCCTCCTCCCTGCTGCCCTTACCCCATAACATCCTGTACTTTCACTTCTGCCATACTCCTGGCTGATCATCACTTGGCTACCCCATCACTCCCCTGGCTCCTGCTAGGCTGAAAGCTGTCAGTAGATAGAAATTGTATCTGTTGTGTGTTCCACTGTATCCCCAGCACTTAGCATAAACCCTGGCACGTAGGAATACCCAATATTTGTTGAAAGAGTAAATTCAAGCTGTTAGAGGGTTGGGAACGGAGAGAGCTGGCTAGAGGCGACTTAGGGATTGGAACTTCTAAGTTGTTGGTGACCAGAGGGTACAAACGAATTTCAAGACGTCTTCTGGTCCATGTCCTGCTTCAGGCCCCGTCACTGCCCTGCCATAGCCACCAAACCCGGCATTCTGGGGAAAGGAATGACACAGTTCATCCTCAGGAGAGCTTGCTGATCTCTAAATCTCTTCTACCTCAAAGCAGTGGTTTGGCCAGGTGTGGTGGCACACACCTGTAATCCCAGCACTTGGGAGGCTGAGGCAGGAGGATTGCCATGAATTCAAGGTCACCCTGGGCTACATAGTGAGTCCAAGTTCAGCCTAAAATGCATAATGAGACCCTGTCTCAAAAAACCAAAAACAGAAACAAAAAACCAGTCGTTTGGGGGTTGGTGAAGAAGCAAAGCCCTTTGGAAATTAGCACCCGCTCAGTTTGAAGCAGCAGCGATGGCCCCATTCCCAAGAGTGCCAGCCGCAGGGGGTTGTACTCAAGCCTGGCAGAATTGCAGTGACGGGCTTTCTCACAGGCAAACAGCCCTTACCCACTGGTCTTTCGATTTACCATGAGAGGCCACGCATCTCTCTTGATGGAGCTTCTGGGGCTCACAGAAAGTCCTGCAATTTCTCTATCTGAGACGCCTTTCCAAACGGCCTGGGAGCCCTGTGGGACACACAGCTCCACTGCAGGAAAACGAACCTTCTTTCACGTCAGGACCTGCTCTCTGCCTGACCACCCTCCTTCGTCCCCAGGCTTGGTGCCTAAAGAGTGTCATTTGCAAGAAGCAAAATGCAAAGCTGTATTCCCTGCGAGGATTTTTCAGAGCATATGCCGCAAGTTTTGAGATGATTCCAAAAGAGTTTCCAGAAATGTCGGAGAAACAGCAGCACATTGGAATGAGCATATGGCTTCCTGGGGGACCACTTGGAAGGGGTCATTGCTCCTTTGGGGTTTAAAAGCAGCCTCTAGCCCTACCTCGTCAGAATTGCATGTGCAAAAGTGTGCGAGCACCATGCATGCGCTGTGCAGGAGGAGCTTGCCTCTGCTATAGCGGCCAGGCCAAGAGAGATACAGAGAGAGAAGTAAGCTCCTTCCTCCTGGGTTCTAACCCTCATTCTGAGATTTCCTGGCTGTGCAGCTGGTACACCCTTAACTCATAGTAGAATATCAGAGGAGAAAGAAGCCTGCAGATCTCCCGGTCCCGTTCATTTCGGAAATGAGGAAACAGCTCAGTGTGGGACTCGGGGTGGGGGTGATCCCGCAGTCACCCAGGGAGTTGGTAGCAGAGGGAGGGACTGAACCTGGCCTCCCAAATCCCAACCCAGGTGGCCCACTTCAGCAGCACCTCTCTGCACCCACCTTAAGAAGTGCAGTCAATATACCAAGGCCCACCCACCCGCCTGGGTTATCAGGATTAATGAATAAAGCACAAGGAGGCTGATGGGGGTGAGGAGGTTGGAAAGCAAGAGCAGAAAGCGCCCAACTAAGAGCAGCCCCATTAACCCAGAGGCCAGCCCAGAGAGCAGGGCAGAGTGGGTGCTGTTACGTAACTGCATCACATCCCTGTAACCTTAAATATTCATGGGCCCAGAAGCATGCACAGAACAGCTGCTGCCGTGCGGCCTGGGCTGGGGCTGAGCGCACCCCATGTACAAATGCGAGCTGGTTTCCCAGAGCATACGGCAGACACCCTGCACCTCCCAGCTCTGTGTGTGAGCAACACACGCCTGCGTACACCCACGTGCCCAGCAGGCACTCACAGTTACTCACTCAGCTCTGGGCAAAAATAAAGGTCAGAAGCCAAGCATGGTGGTGCACGCCTGTAATCCCAGCAATTGGGAGGCTGAGGCAGGAGGATTGCTGTGAGTTTAAGGCCAACTTGGGCTACAAAGTGAGTTGCAGGCCAGCCTGAACTGCATGGTGAGACCCTGTCTCAAAAAGAAAACATAAATAAATAAAATAAAATAAAATAAAAGGTCAAAGTGACACATCCACACCTTCACAGACAGACGCACCCAGCCCACCTGAAACGAAGCGTACACTCAGCCACACTCCACTTTCCTGTTGCTCAACTGCTTCACCCACGTGCCAGGGTCCTCTCTTCCCTGTCCCTTTTCCCTCCCTCCTTGTTCTCTCCTCCTCTACCTCCACCCAGCTCCGGCTGCTCCCATGAGCCCTCTTCCCAGGAAGCCTTTCAGTGACCATCTCTCCAAGCCTGGGCGCTCTTGGTCCTTCTCCTAACGTAGTTTTCAGGACAAGGGAGTCTGAGAATCCAGGCCTTGGGCAGGTAACAGGAAGGGTGGGGTGAGCCTTTGGGAGGGATTTTCACGGCCAGACCAAAGTTTGAGGGAAAGAAGGGAACATGAAAGAGACCTCGGCAAGCGGGTGAGCCAGCAGGGGTAGGGGGATCTTCCCCCGAGAGCCTACAGAGGTGACTCCCAGTTCTGCAGTCCTGCCCTGAGGCGAGACATTAACAGCTGTCAATCAAGGGCCAGCTACCCTTATTCAGAGGACACTGATCCCCAGGAGGCAGGGACCATTCTGCAAATGGGACTGAGGCACAGGGAGAGGACCTTGAGGCCCCAGAGACACAGACGAGGGAATCCTATAGTCCATGGTCAGTTCCCAAGGCCCCATTGGAACAGGCTAGGGAAAAGGCTGGCTGAGAGGATGCTTTGGATCCTGCTCTGTGTTTGCGGGGGAATCACGAGTAGAACGCAGCAAGAGCCTGGGCTCTGAGAGGTCTGCCTCCCACCCCCACCTTTCCTTACACTGTTCACATTGGGAGTGAAGGGGACTGGGAAACCAGCCAGCTGTTTGGGGGCCCTCCAAGCGTGGGCTGGGTATAGGGAAGCCTTCCTAGAGCCCGAACAGCCATAATCCCGTACCAGTTAAAACACAGATGGGGGACTTACTGGCCAGGCCAGACTTCAGGGTCCACTGGGTCACTATAAGCACAGCCCAAGCCCTGAGAAAACTGAGCCTGCCCTATGTAAAGAGATCTGGCACGGGCAGCAGGCAGGAGAGGTTATTTTGGGAGGTAAGAGGGGAAGGGACCCTGTGAAGCTCAGACCAGGGTAGTAGGTAACATAGTGGGCAAGGGAGAGTTGAAGCCGACCTCTTGGAGGAGATGATTGTGAGCAGCACGGAGAGCCAGGCGTAAATCTATGAGGAACCTGCCAGGGGCCGGTGCACAGTTAAAAAGCACGGGCCCTCCTGGCCTGGCCCCTGGCCCTCTCCCAGCACGCCCTGTCCCTGCTCCTTTGCCTCTCCTTCCCCAAAGCTGTAACCAGCCCTGCTCCGCCCCAGGGCCCCAGCACCTCCCTCCCTTCTACCCAGGATCCCCAGCCCCCAGCACAAGGCACACCAGCTCCTGTGAATATCCTATCACCCTCGCTGGCTGTGCTGACTGACATCTTGATCCTACATCAAGCCAGTAAGTTCTTCGCATAGTCTAATTCCATGCCTCAGCTAAAACGGATCATTTTCCTTTTTCCGCCAGCAGTGAAACTAGAAACCAGCCCCAAGTGTAAACAAGCCACCCCACCACCAAAGGAGCTTCCCTCTCCGCCCCCCGGCGGCGCTCTCCCCCGTAAGCCTTTCGCCTACTTTAGAGTCCCCATAAATTTAGCAAGCTCAAAGTGAAATCTATTTCACAAGCATTACTGATTCCCCACCCCCATTATTCCTTCTGCCGAGACCCAGATGGTCCCTTCTCCCAAGCCCTCCACCCACTCCCTGGCACTTGAGGACAGCTTTCCCTCCGGAGACCCTGAGGCCACAGCTCCCCTTCCCTGCCCACCAGCGAACCCTGGACGGGTGTCCAGGCCCCGCACCCCCATTCCTGCTTTCTCCTCTGCTGCAAGGTTTTCCTTTCAAGGGAAAGTCCCTCTCCGAGTCTGACCATAATCTCTCTTGCTGCATGCCTAAATTTCCTTCCCATCGGTCCTCTACGTGGCCACCCCCGTCAGGTGAGACACGAAATTCTCCTCTTGCGTCTGCTGCCTCCTCTTCCGCAGCGACCCTCCACTTTGCCAGCCCCTAATCCCTGCCCCGGCTTAGAGAAGTTCTTGGTAACCGCGCCCTAACCCACTCCCTCCCAAAACTCCGAGGATACCTGGATATCCGCCCGGGCTGTGGACTGGCATCGTGACCCAGCCGCCTCCGGCTGGCCCGCCCGAGGGGCGGTGACCCCCGCGGCCCCGCGCAGCCACGACGGGG